TGTTACGTGACTAGGTTATTATAAAAGCAAATACATCTTAGTACACATATAATAATTGGCCTCTAGTAATGACAATAAATCAATCAATTCGAACTGTAGCAAAGTTAACACGAACACACTGTGAGCAGCTATGTAGATGTAGTGGTGTTACCCACGAGAATCCCCATTCTTTCAAGTCACATTTATGACATGGTTTGTATTTTTACTGTTAGATTTCGTAAATTACGATATGCTTACTTAGTAGTATTGATCAAAGCAGTCCATCTGATATGATAAAATCAATATTTCCTATAAAACCGTCTGAAAGACTTTTAATGTACATCGCTTATAAATAGAATGCACGACTTGATATGTTCTATATCCCTCGTCGACATTCATGTTCACGTTCTATGTCCTCTCAAGATATTGCGCTCCGTATTACACGCGAGGAGCACTTATTATCATGCACATTTAGCCATTACGTTCATATAGCAAAAACGGTTGTGTCGTGATATCACTTTTTTCTCACGAAATACTCAAGGTCCATTTTGTTGTCACTAATATCGTGAATTCCAAGAAAATGACTGTGAGTAGTGTGCGTAATGTTATGAGTGCACAGTAAACGAGCGACTCGGATACTGATCAATTACTGGTGGTTTAAGTTCAAATCCGTCCCAGATTCAATTAAGTCATTAAATATTTACATGATTTGCAAATATTGACGTAATCAGCTTTTTTATGGAACCTTGGTCACAGCCTATGACGGCACCGTAAGGAATAGCCACAGTACAGTACAGTACAGTACAGTACAGTACAGTACAGCAATACATTCATATCAAGACGATCCACCGAATGTGGCATTTTGTTCACGCCGCGATGCTACCATCATCGGGGGTTTCTTTGGGCTTTGGTTTGATGCCAATTCTCCATCCCATCCATTTTAACGAATGTTCTATTTTAGACTGCGATAATGTGATGCACATCGTCATCACAGTCATGCCCAGCAGAATAAAAAACGATGATGCTATGGTGAACTTTTGATGTTCTGGTATCAAATCACCAAACCCGATTGTACTCAGTGTAATGAACGAGAAATAGAAACATTCGAAGTAACTCCAATTTTCCCAGGCTGAAAAAAGTGCCGCTAATACACACATGTACAGGAATCCAAATGCAAGGATTGCCAACATAGGGAGATCGAACTCATCTTTCTTTTCATTGTCTTCGTTATTGTTGTCTTCTGTGTCTCCCTGGTTTTCAACTGTCTCATCCCGACCGAAATCTGTTTTCCAGTGGTCAGCTTTGCTAGTATCGTTCACAGGCGTACCCATTTCGTTAACATTACTTTTCACTTTTACATCTTTCTTAACCACACTTTGCTGTCTGTCCAGGGTTTTCTCTTTCCTCTCAAAGCACGATACCCTACCGCTGTTCTTGTTGATGTACGGTCGAAATATTTTAAGATATAAGAATTTGGTTCCTCTTGCAAGCAATGAACCCAAATCTACTAGAACCAGCATAAGTAGAGGAATGCCGAAGAATGCATAGACCATGCAGAAAGCACGACCTTCTGTTGTCTCCGGGGCCATATGTCCATATCCTGGTGAAATACAAAAACAGTTAGTTATTTTCTCAAAAAAAAATATCGGGTATATCTTTATCTCGCTTGTATTTAAAGCCATGTGACATTTAAAGTGCGAACCTGATATTTACACAATGCACGCAATAATGTAGTTTATATAATTTAGTATCATAATGAAGTATCTCCTCAGTCTTGCAAATATATCTAGTCTCCGATGTTAAAACGAGCGAAACATATTGGCGACATCATAATTGGAGACATCATTAATTAAAATGTGTATTAAGACTCGGGGTCACGTCGGCTGACAAATCTTATTGTTTTTCGAAAAATTTACAACGAAAAGACTAAAAAACAAAATAGTGCAGCTAAAATGAGGAGTTGTTGCAAAAACAAAAAAAAAAACGTTTTTCAAAAGTCGCCTTGACTGTAGGCATACGTAGGCATGTAATTCAACATTCAACATATGTACATGTGATGCACCTAAAATACCTATGATGTTTTACTGTTAATTAAAGCACTGTCATTTTAAATGGTCAGTAATTGCTAAGCAGTCATTATATATTCTAGCAATGCAATCTGTCCCTCATTCCAATTACAAATTACCAAATCTTTGTCTAAAGCCAGAAAACACCCGCCAGATCTGCAGATATTCGAGTTACTGTCAGTAACTTTACTGGTCATTGACATGCAGGTCCTAATGGCAATAACACTTTAGAACATAAAATGTTTTGAATAATCCTTGAGACAACCTCATCGCAAACGACGAGTCGTAAAACGATTAAAATGATTCATTTTACGAGGCAGTCCAGGTCGTTATGTATGTATTGTCAATGCTGTATTATCCAGTACAGTTCAGTGCTATAACGAGAATTATAATAATAATTATAATAATAATCAATTCAATTGAGGAAGTGGCACAAATCCACAGCGCAGAATGTGGTTTGACTAGTGGCCGCCTTATATTTAAAATTGGGGCTTATGTACCTCGCCATGAAGGTGATCAGTTGACACAGACGTGGCGACCATTCGTTCCATTCCCAAATGCCCATCCATAAATTAAACCATTTTACT